TTTTAGCAACTACTATAATTTGCAGTCTGTCTACTTTGCATAGGTCTGGTTCGTTCGTACCTTTACTGTTTATCAAAGTAGGATAATAAGCGCACAAATTTCGAAGAATTATCGTACGTTAAGTTTTACTCATTGCTCCTGTTTAAGTTTGATAAGCAGAGGCAATCGTTAACTGCTTTCAGGGTCTTAAGAGTTAATATTTCATTTATTTAGGATTAATACTGTGTAGTGAGCCTTATTACAACGAGGCTGGCTATGAGAAGCAAAGAGGCACAGTGGAGGGACGAGAAAACAGCCGCCTTTACAATGAAATGGTTTTACTAAAACTGGTTCAATCCATGGAAAGACTCTTAAGAAATCCTCCTGCTGGTCTGGAGAACGAAATACTAAAACATTTTGCACATCACGGGGCCAGGTAAGACTTGATAAAACTTTTTTGAAGTGTCAGATTAAAAGGCATCTCAATCTTACTTCCCCATTAACAATTAAGCTGAAAATCAAATTTTCAAAAATAGCTATTGTTAAACAGGTTAACTTGATGTAGGTACTTGGACCAGAGTAGTGGCCCTAAATATCATAGGTAGTGGCTTCCATAACTTATAAAGTAGATTTATGAACTATCAGCTCATTTACCGCTCAGTTATAATTTACCTTACTGAGCAAAAAAAGGCCTCGAACATATTCCATACAAAGATGGTTCTTGAATTTTTGTTAAGGTAAATGTCGTGTCCTTCTATCGTCAGATTTGTTGTTTAGGTAAGCTAAATCGTCGTCGTTTGTTGTTTTCTTGGCAGAATGATACGAAAATTCAAGCGTTGGATTGCTTTGTTCCACGAACAAGCAACAGCTGTGCCAAGCTGTGATGGCGAAAAAGCCACTAACGATGAGATGAAGGTTAATGAGCCGGAGGAAAAAGGACCGAGAAGTGAGAATGAAAACGCTTGCATGAAGGACACTAGTAATGTTGACACCATGCGAGCTAAAGTTGCATCAAGCTGCATCAGGGAAGAGTGTATTCAAGCACATGCGATGTCTGGGGAACTGTTAACGAACGACGAAGTACATCACACTGAACCTTGTAGCAATGGTGTCAGTAAAGATGATTCCGACCAATCAGCTGTCTTGCCTGAAGGAAAACCTTCAAATGTCGAACCCCAAGGCGCATGTCAAGGAGCCATGACATCAGAGAAGAATGTTTCAGATTATCCCTTGTTCCCACTCTCCCGGGGTTTTTGCTTGAGTCTCGTGAGAGCGTTGGATAGTTTTGAAGCCGCCTTGGAAAAGGCTCAACTACCAGACTGCTCTGAGTAGATTTCAACGTTCTGCCATTGGGTCTTGTATCGCTTTATACGTCATAAAATCTAATACACAAATAAGGTGGAAATATTTTATATGTATTTATTTATTTTTCAGGTTATCTGAGTATAAAGAGATTGAAATCATTGTAAAATGCTGTTATCCGCCTAGTTTGGTCTTTTTTTATGTTATTTCCTGGAATGTATATTGAAAGGGTAAAGGTTGCTTTTGTTGCATGGCGCTGCAAGGAGTGTAGTAAGCGTCTGTGAATGTGAATACTTCACCTTGCTTTTCCTTACTTCTTCCCATGAGCCTCTCCCTGTTTACACCTGCAAGGCTTTACTTGTTTACATTTTTCTTGTAGGTTAATTTTGCATCGAGATCTTTCCTTGAATCAGCCGTGGACGTTGTCGTCCCTATGTCTTATTACCCTGCCCGGCTTATATTTGATTTCAGATCACGTGGTCCGAGTGAATTCTCTAATGCGTCATCGAAAATCCATTAACCTTACAGTAAACATGAACGCTCTTAGTAGCGTTGAGTCTCGCTTGCTTGGAGATAAGTTTTGTTGTCAAAGGCGCCGGCGCTGTTATACTACTTTTTCGTTTCGAATGCAAATCGAGTGTTATATGTCATAATGTAAATACTCAAAACACAAAAATTGCAAGGAGAGACAGGCCGCACATCTTAGCTTTACACCGGTGTGAAACCTTTGAAAACCTTTACATACTGATATTGCTCCAATGAGAACTCTTCAGTTCAGGGATTTTACACTCCAAAAATTGAACGATGATTTTTATCAGTATTAGGAGCTCATGACTTCGTGTCAGTATAAATATATATAGCTTCTTTGTATATGTTCAGCACAGGAAAAATGTGTTAGTTTAGCAGAACCTTATACAATCCGTTTTATAAGATATCACAGTCGCGCGAAAGTAATTACATTTTCCATAGCTGCTTAGTATCTGCACAGTCTCAGAGTACAATGTTTAGAGCTGTGCACAGCATGCATATTATCTCAGTATCACTGGGATAATGCGTTTCATTTTCCAGGAAAATTTCACCTTCTCATCAAAACAATCACTGACTGAGTCAGACTCTGAGTAGTTTACTTAAATTTAGTGTTCAGCACAGCGAACGGGGTTATGTTCTGTGAAATTTATCTACCGTCTGCGGCCCACATCACCACGATCCACGATTCTATTTATTTATTTTATTTTCAAGTTTTTTTTAACCGATCCTCGATCCCCGATTCTCCATCACCAATCCTCAATCCTCGATCCTCGATCCTCGATCCTGTTTTTCCAGTAAACCGAGAAGTTTTGCTCATGAAGACTATTGTTTTTTTCGACCACTGAAGTAATTACTTGTTCCAAAGTAATCATCGCTTTCAAGCGATAGGATTTGTGGACCGACCCGTTCCGGAAAGGGTCGATATGGGATTTCTACTCTATGGACATGAAGTGCTGCAAGTAGAGTGCGTGAAAGTCAAGTACAAAGCTACCCGTATGAACACATCCGTGATACATACGTATTTAAGGCACGTAAATTTTAATCACCTAAATAAATAAAAGTAGAGGCAAGATATTAAGTGTTGAGATTAAACATGAAGTTGAGCGAGTTTCTACTTTTACGCTTACGTGCAACCTTTTATACATTGCCTCAATTTTATTTGCAGACGTTAATTTTAAAGTGTAACACGACTTCACATCTTAACAACTGCAAAAATCTATCAATTAAATACGTACAACAAAGTGAATCTATTTAACCGTAGAGTTCCAGTATTTGCGACACTATCCTGAGAAACGTAACGTCTTAACACACCACAAAACAGGATTTCCCCGCTATACCATTTTCTCATCCTACTTGGTAGCCTGTTCCAAGCGTTCAGATAGTGGAGAGCGGTGCGAAGTAAAGAAAGCAATGAAAAGTAGAGGGGGACTGGGGATATCTGAACGCCTGGAACAGGCTACCTACTTGGGGATATTTACCTTTTAATGCGCGTGCATGTCGTGCATAATTACACGATAATCAAGGGCCTTGATTCGGGGAAAATTACATCATTGCCAAACTTACATGCGTCATTTCAGTCATCGCCGAAAATATACCGCATGCTCATCACGAGGACTGACATGAAAGTCGTCACGATTCTTATCCCCAGTTTCCATGGTCTCCGCTAGGAACGCGTGGCCTACAAACTAGGTCCCACTGACAAAAAAAAAAAGAAAGAAAGAAATGCCTGCATTTTTAGAGTCCAGCTCTGCTAAAGCAAGCTCGACTAAAAATAACTGAAACAAGTCCACAGGAGACTCAATAGAGATGCTATGTTCCACCACTCAAGTTGATAAGTTGATCACTGCCAACCTTTGCCCATGTTGATGATATATTCAGTATAGAAGGCAGAAACTTGTTTCCGTGTACTTTATTCGATATGGCAGTTGTTGCATAAACAGCTTTAAACGATTTTCTTGGAATGAGTTGCTTTCACCGATTTACTTCTCGGAAATTCTCCGCGGAAAATTCATGCACAAAAAAACATAAGGACGGAAAAAAGTTTCCGAGAAACATGCGTCGAGTTTCCTGGAACTGGCAATCCACGGGATGCAGTTTTAATGTTAACATGTCTCAGATGTAAATAAAATGTAAATTTCATTTACAAAGATCTCTGCTTGATTACGGTTTAGTGTTGTTCTCTATCGTCACATTGATAAAATGCATTTCCACAAATAATATGGAAATGAAATAAACAGAACAACGGCATGACTAAACATTTTTTATTAGCTTTGAGATTAGGCATTATTGGCTACCTGCGGTTATCAAACAAAAATAGAGGACAGATAATGCATAATATTAAACACGGTCGTCAATATACATCATTGTTTTAAATAGCACCTGTCCAACAAGTCTATTCACGTGACGTGAAGATTAGAAAAGTTCCGATCGTGATTGGCTGGCCACTGAGCGTTTTCCTAGAAAACGATAACTTGTTCTGGCCTAGAAAGTGTCAAGGCTGAAGAGCGTACACCACAGCAGCACTGACGACTTACCAGTACGAGGCTAATATTTATTTGTCACGATTTTATCCTTGTAGTCAATTGACTGTTATAAGAGTCAAAACGAATATTTCGCCGACCCGAAATTTGTGGGAATTGACGGCAGCTATTGCAAGTTCATCTTCATTTTCATTCTCGTCGTGCGACTCTGACTCGGGATCTGTATACGACACCTCGGAAGGAAAGACGGACGGCACTAGATTGGTACGATTACGGGATCGCAAATCTGAGGAGTCTATTGACCATGAAACCTGCAAAAGGGTGGAGGACGACGACCAGCAGTGGCTAAAATCCCAAGAGCTGGAGGAACTTAAGCCAATTTCTGAACTTGACTGTAATTTTCCGGATATTCCACCACAAGAGCCTATATTTGGTCGTTCAAAAGAGTTACAGAAGGTCGTAGATTACATCGAACGCGGAACAATTTCTGTAGTGCTGATAACCGGGGGTCCAGGATTTGGTAAAACCACTTTGGCCATAGCAGTTGCTCATGAGCTTGCAAAATCCGAGAATGTGAGAAAAGTATTGTTCTGCCGTTTACTTTCAAAGAAAACTTCCAACGAAGCTGCCATTGAGATGATTCATGTATGTGGAAAGAGCCATGCGCAGCCTCCCGAATATCCAGACCAGTGGCTTACGGACTGGAGCAGACAGATCCAAATGCAAGTCACTTTTGTTCTTGATAATGCAGATGACATCCTGGAAACAGAACAAAGATCTCCCTTCTTAGCCATCTTGAGGAAGATGACACAGTTATCGAAGAAAAAGTTAACTTTTGTCATCACTTCTAGAAGACTATTCAAACTTCGAGATCTTCCGTCGGAGGTCGTCGTGTTATCCTCGTTACCACCCGAACAGGCGAAGAAAGTCCTAATCTCTCGCGTGAGGGATGAAGAAATTGGCAAAAATCTTTGCAGAACCGAGGAAATAGTAAAGCTGTGTGGCTATGTTCCTTTGGCTCTTTGTATTGTCGGGTCACTTCTTTCAGACTACCCCGAGGAGATGCTTGTTAAAGACCTCGAGAAGGAACCTATGAAGCTGCTGGATGATGGAAATGAGTCAGTTGAAAGTGTCATCAAAACGTCTTTTGATCTTTTATCTAAAGATAAACAAGATGCCTTGGTTCTGATGTCAATCTTCCCGGGATCATTTGATAGCGATGCTGCTGTGGCTGTGATACCAAAGGCTTGCTCAGAATTTGAGAACCCGCCAGTGTCCGTCCTGCTTTCCTTAAAAAGAAGCTCTCTTGTTGAACAACCAAGTCCGCGAAGATATCAGCTGCATCCTCTAATTCGCGCCTTTGGAAAGAAGATTGGCGAAGCCAATGATCTACAGGTTTTGGTCGGGGCAGAGAAACGGGCCTGTGCTCACTTCTTTTGTCTTCTTGCTCAGAACGCAAAGATATTCTGGAGCAAGGACCAATGCAAAAAAACTATCGACTTGTTTAGTGAGGACAGACACAACTTTGAGCACTTCATACAAGTGTACGCCAAAGCAGCGGAAGTACGCGATGAAAAGACCCTTGACAACTGCAAAGAGTTCCAACACAATTTTCTCCAGAATTGCATGTATTTGGAGAAGTGTCTTTCACCGTCATTCTATACTGACTTTTTGGAAGCGTTATTGTCGTATACTGAGCCAAAAAATCAACCAGTGCGTGCTGCAGAACTCTTATGTCTTCGAGGACATGAGAAAAGAAAAGTTGGAGACAAGGAAAATGACTACCAGGTGGACATGGAAGAAGCATATAATCTGTACTCTGAGAACGGTGGTAAATTCGAGACAAACACAATGTCGGCAGTCTTCTTGCTTAATAGTTATGCAGACTCTATTTCCAAAAGAGGAGACCCTGCTAACAATACAAGAGTGGAAGAGATCAATGGAAATGCTCTGGAGCTCAGCGAATCTATGGACAATGGTCACCCAGAAAGGGCAGAAGCTCTTTTACTTGCTGGTCGATTT